ATTTTATATAATTTTATCATAAAGTTGCTCTAATAAATCATTCTTTTATCATGTGACAACGATTCTGGATTTCGTGTGTTAATTTGGAGGGGAGTATGTGTTTGGTGGACTGACTTTTCCAACTGCTTGTTTACACTGGTGTTGTTAAGTGTGGTGCAATCAGAGAATTGCCAGGAACCAAAGACTCACAGTGCAGCTGGATCAGTCCTGGTGACACCCAACATATGGACGGGGCAGATCCCTCTCCAAAAGAACAGGAGTCCCCTTCCCCCTCTCTGTAGTTACAGGGTTGAAGTCCCTCAGTCCCCTTCACCTGAGGGTGGTACGTCTGAGTACAGTATGGTGATACTTGATTTAGTACTTGATTTAGTGTTTTGTTTCACTGCTGTGATTAACAGCAGTGGTTGAATCCAGCCTGGATATGATCGTTCCCCAGGAGGTATATGATTATAGGAGAACATTATTAGACTTAACTCTTTTGCTCTCACCTTACATGCACACAAACATATATATATATATATATATAGTAGTTTTTGTGTCTACGAAATTGTGGGGTTTTTTTACTTTTTCCCTTCGTTCTGTCAGTGTCCTTCTTCCCTCCTGCAGTTTTGTCTGAGCTTTGCATCCTTCCTGGCACTTTTGAAATAACATTAATTCCTCTTTCTCCCCTGCACAGCCTCCAGCCTCCCCCACCCTGCTTGGTGCCACGTGAGACTCTGCATTAGAACAGCTCATATAGGAAGCAGCTGATAAAAACATGGCATTTTTTGCCAGCAATAACTGAAACAGAAAGGGGAAGAAAATATTAATCCCTAACCTAGAATCAGTGGGAGACTTCCCATCCTCTGGTGACCTTTCCATTAGATACTTGAACATGAGACCTTTTATATTTAAAAGTTTTAGGGAGAGATTTTAAAAAAAAAAAAAAAAATTCTTCTGCCTCTCTTGAAAAGCTTTACGAAGCTTAGTTTGCATGTGCTGTGTCTGCAGAGAAGGTTTTCTGTGTTGTCTAGAGTACAGGTCTGGGTTACACACGATATTGCCTCTCCACAGGCTCCCCTGGCATCCAGAGCAGTGTTTGAGTCAGGATGCTGTGCAAAGTGCCCTTTTGAAATCAATAGTGCACCCACTTCATTAATTTTTAACAGTCTGACTGAATAAACATAAGAGGCAGTGGAACTGAGGCCAAAACTATTTGCAACATAATGAAAGCTGCTATCTGGCAGAGTTTAAAAATAAAGGATAGATGGGAAAAGTAATGATCTCCTCTGTGCATCTTCCTGCTGAGCCTTCAGCTGCAAGCCTGCCTGGCTCTCCAATGTCCTCATTTGCTTTGGGAAATAGAGCCTGTTTTTCCACGTGTGCATAGCAGGGAACACCAGAAAGGCTTTGCCTTGAGCAGGGTGTGCAGGATCCTTCCTTAGGGCAAAACTTTTAAGTTTTGTTGGAGGAGACAGGTTCTTATTTTTTGATGTTGTGTGAAGATCCAGTAGGATCCCTTGTCTGTTGGGTCCTGCCCCTGAGATGGTGGGAGAGGACTATGACTTATTTTCGGTAAGGACACCTGTGGACTGTTGAAGAGCAAAGCCCTGCTGGTCTCAGCTGAGGTGGGGCAGCAGTGGGCAGTTTGGCTGGGGGGGGGGGTGTTGTTGTTTTTCAGGGGTAAAACCATTTGGATGCAAACCTGCAAAAACTCAGAGAACTGGTGCATGGGAGCACGATGTATGCAGTTACCTAGAAAAAAGTGTGTTAAGTCAGTGGAACATCTGCTTAGGTCTCTGGCTGAGAAAAATGTACACAAGAAAATAGTACTCTCTAGGACTCTACCCCAATTAAGCCTTTTTTCCTCCTCTGAGCAGAAATTACAGTGAAAACACAGTGCTTGCCAAAAGAGTTGGTGCCAGAAACGGTTTGTTCAACATTGACATTTCTGTCAACATTCAGCTCGCAGGAACCATAAGAAGGAAAAAAATGTAATACAAACACACACACACACACACAAAACCAACCCAAAATGCAGCATCCACCTGGCACCTGGGGACACTGCACAGACAAGAAAGGATCCAGAGGCATGGGGGAAGTTCAGTGTCAGCAAGAGGACCCGTGGCTTTAGCAAGAGCAGTAACCACAGAGAGCAGGTCACTTTTGGGCATTGTTTCTCCCAGGGAATGGATCTCCCTCCCAGCTGCTGACAGCTGGGCAGGCTTGAAGAGGATGGATTATGACACACCTTATGACACACCTTCACCTCAGGGACAGCAACCTCTCTATAGGCAAAAAAAAAACCCCTTTATGTTCAGGAGGAGGTGAGGAGTGGGACTGCATTGGGCCAGTGGTGTCCTGGGTTGGCAGGTACTTTGCAAATCAAAGAGAAGGAGTCTAATTTTTGTAATACAAAGTCAGATATATTCAAGATAGACAGCACACACTGAAGCTTTTCCTAATACTCGCAGGTCTTCTTTCCTAGGGGTCACTGGAGAGTGAGTGCCACACCAGAGGAGTGACAGCACTGATACAGCAGAGGACTCTCTGTAATCCCTTGAGCTACACGAATCACTGATTGTGTTTTTTTTTTTCAATTGAAGTATTTTTCCAAACAAAACATGTTTGGTGAGCATTTAGTATTTAATTTTAGATTGAATAAAATGATTCCAAGTTAAATATTTCAACTTAAATTTTTCAAGTCTATGGTTGAATTTAATGAATTTTTTGAAAAGTACAAATTGAGTAAATCTTAAAAAATATTTCTGAACAAATCACAGTTTTATTGAAATTTTCTCTAGGCTTGTCAGCTGAATCACTTCCACATTCTTGACCTGAAATTACTTCTTTTGGGTTCCCCCCCCCCCCCGCTTCCTCCCCAGCTCATTTGAATATACAATCTTCCAGCACAAAGTATAAATAATTTTTCTTTTCAAGTGTAAGGACCCTGGCTGCTCCTGCCTCCCATCCTTCTGTTGGTGTTTGGAGCCCAGCCTCCTTGCTCTCATGCAACAAAAAAAATGTAGCTTTGTAGTAATCTCTGCAGTGGTAGTGATGTTTTCATCTAAAATTAGCTCCCAGAGATGGGAACGTGTTAAACTGGCAGTTTCTTCTTTGCAAATCTCCCACACAGGCAGAAAAAGCTCTTTCACTGTGTCTTTTAATGCACCCTTCTGACAAACTGGAGTCCAAGCATGCTTTTTTTTTAGAGGGAGTATGTTAACCACAGAGTGTCATCCAACCATACAGCCAGAGATGTATTTACTCTGTGTGGGGGATGGTGGCAAATCAGCCAGAGCAACTAGAAAGAGCCTTGTCTGAGAGATGGGGAAGAGGCAGAACAAAGAAGATTCCTTCTTTGCCCTGAAACTTGCCACTCTTTTTTCCCCTCCCTTCAGTTGCCTGAGTTGGTCAAATAGAATCATATTCTCCCCACATATTCCACACTTAACCTCTCAAAACTACAACACTGCTAGTAAATGTACAATTGTTGTTGGGCTGGTATGTGAGATCAGGTGAGCAGAAGGAAAGCAGGATTTTGCAAGCTGGACAGGATGAGGATGGAATGTATCGGTGCTGCAAATGGTTAGAGAGCTGCCACGAAGGAGAAATGTGGGTCCTTTTTCTGGAAGCTGCTCTTCCCCTCATATAACCCAGCCTCTCCCAGTTTGACATAAACTGGTGATACTGGAGCAATAAATAATAAGTCCCGAACTTCATAAAAAAGTGCTGCTGCCTGTGTGGTATGATCATGAAGTCAGTGGGAGCTTTTGTGATTTATGTTGGCATAGTTCATGCCAGGGTTTCAGTCCTGCACACAAGCAGGCTCTTAGCTGAAATATTTAGTTGGAATGCTCAGCCTCTGAAATCAGCGGAGGGACAGGGACGCTTCCTGGGGGTGATTTGGACTTTAGTGTGCTGGCTCTCTGGAGCTGTCTCTTTTCCTTGGCTGCAGATCCTGCCTCCAGCTTTCTGGTAACCCAAGTCTTCAGGGATGGCAGCAGCCTTTGCCTTGTTTTTAAGCTCTTGTTTTAGTAGAGATTTGGGATGGCCCCAGAGACAAGTGATCTGTGGATAGCAATAAATTCAGGAGAGAGCTGGCTGGTCAGACAGGTGTCCTATCTGCTCCATCATCTTCTTCTCTCTAACTTTTGCCCTTTTTGGAGTCAATGCTTGTGTTTTGGTCCCAGGGGAAGCAGAGGACTCATGACACCTTAAGCTTCCCAGAGAAAGACCTCTTTCTGCTGAGCCTATCCTTTGACTTCTCTTAGCTTTTCCATCATCAGCAGCTTAATACAAGGTATGATAAACCCTTGTGTGCCAAGTTGTCTCTCCATTGATTCCTTGCTGCATCCTTCCTCTGGTAGTGAACTAGGGAACTGCATCCTTGGGTTCAGCAGGAATGAGGGGCTGCCTGCAGAACAGCACCAGCACTGCCAGAGTGAGTTGCGTCAGCTGAGGTGCAGCCTTTGGATTTTTACAGAAGGCGTAATTTTTTAGAAGTTGCCCCAAACTCAATGTCAGATGTCACCTTGCCCCTCAACAACATCACTGCAATTTCCAAATGCCATGTGTTTAAGACAAAAGCCGTATTATTTCAAATGAGCTAGTTTGCTTCCTTATATTTGTCCAAGGATGACTGAGCAGGAGAGTGCTTGCAAGAGGAACTGGACAGAGAGGTGGGTTTGAAGGGTTTGCTTGTTTCAAATGAAGCTTCTGGTGGGTTAAAAGTGATGCAGTGAGAATATTGCCATGTCCAGGATGCAAACAGCACCAAAGCTGAGCAGCCCTTTCAACCAGTGTTTTCTCGTGCTGATCCAGACTCTGACTTTACACCACTGAGTGTAAACTCAGACACTGCAAAAAGTTATGCCAAACAGGTGAAGGTGAAGGTCGGGACCTGGCTTCTAAGAACTGGGTCACAACAAGAGAATAACTTGGGCCTCTGTCAGTGCCTGTTGTGAAACTTAGTGCTTAAGAGGAAGTGATCTATGGGAGGAGGGCAAAAAACCAGAAGAGCCCAAACCAAATCTGCTGACGAAAACATGGGCACTGCCCCTCGTACATAGAGTTGGGAGTAACATCAGAGTGCAGCAGGACATCCCCACAGAAGGAGGTCTCTCAGGATGGTAAGTACATTTGCCATCATCTTGAGAGAGCTGAGGTTAGACATGGAGAGATGAATGCACCTTGTTTATCTGGGGAGCTTCAAACAGCTCCTGGGGAGGATTTTGTGTAATGAAGAAGTGCACCCTTGTGTTTAAAATCCAAAATTTTATATAGTGTGTTACTAGTGGAGAAAAGAAGTATGAAAAGTTATTTTGGGGGAAGGGAGAAAGCAGGCCTAATGTTATAAACAGCAATCTCCTGTGTACACTCATCATCCTGGCATTAGCTGGTGTTCCAGGCTGCAAAGCAGTGCTAAGTAGCACTTGTATTTATTACTCTTGGATGAACTTCAGTCATTGAAATTGGCAGCTGGTAAAGGCCTGAAAGCTTCGAGGGAGCCATAGTTAATTGCTGACCAGCTACAATATTATTTTTAAGAATTCTGTCTGAGTCTCTGATGTTTTTCTTTCTTGAAAATTAGACTGCCTATTTTAGTGCAGTTCTCATGACTTCTGGACAGCAGGTGGGACTCTAACCCATCACCATCAAAGATAGGGTCAAGAAGAGCTTTATTTGAACCAAATGATAGATGATTCCATGACAGCCCATAAAAGAAAAACGCTGCTTTTTTAAACCATCTTGTAACTGTTGCTGAAAAAGAGAACTGAAACAACTTTCTGGTAAGCTCCATCCTCCTGAGGCCATCACATGTCTGTAAGTGCGCTGACAGCTGCAGTTCCTTACCAAGATGCTGCCTGGGTCGCCAAAGGTGACTTTGGGGGCCAGAGGGACAAGGTGTCACCTCTCAGCTCTGGTTCTGTGCAGTAGCTGTTTGTTCCTGGCCAGCCCCGCTGACTGGGACAGCTGTGCCAAAGCCACGAGCTGTGGTGTGTGACCTGCAGCCTCAGTGGGCTCCTCCTTTAAAATTCCTTTGCCTCAGTTTCCTACCCAACTCTTCAGCATCTTCTCTCTTGCTCTCTCTTCCCTTTCTTTCTGCCAAGTTTTCTGGGTTGGTATGTGCCCACTTTCTCTCGGAGTGGGGAATGACATGTGTTGCTGCCACACAGCTTTCTCTGCATGGTGTGTTATACGCCCCCAGTCTGCTCAGACTGTCAGCTCTCTGGGGTAAGACATTGGGTCTTCATACTGTGCTTAAAACATCGACTGGGATCTCAGGGGCATGGGGACCTGACATTCAACAGGGAATGACCAAGTGTCCTTCACTGCTGGCAGCCACTCCATTTCTCTAGGGCTGGGAGAATAGACGTTTACCTGCCAGCATTTATAACTATTTCTAATGTAAAAGCTTGCAGCTGAGCCTGGGGGCAGCAAAAAGAAGTGACAGTGAAAATGGTGAGTAAAACTGCCTTGGAAAGTGGACACTGCCATAGTGATTACAGATGATAGCAACAACCAGACCTTGAAATGAAAACACAGTTTTCCTTCTCTGCAGCTCATTTTCTTCCCTCTCCACCTTTCCCATCCTTGTCATTCTTTCTCATCTGCTCTTTTCACATTCCTGTCTTCATTTCCCAAGTTACTGTTTCAGACTCACCTCCTTTCTCTTTCAAGAACATCCTCCACCTTTTTGGTTCAGCCCCACCAGTTCTTGTGAGTTGGGCCCCACAAGGAGCCTTTGGGGCTGTACATGTACTGTGTCCAACTCCTGCCTGTTCCACGCAGTCACAGCATCCATACAGAAAGATGGAGTGGGCAGGAGCTGGATGCAGCATGGATGTGTATGGCCATGCTGCCTTACTGGTGGGAGAGGGCAGACACCATAAGCCCATCCAGTTCAGGTGACAATAGCTGCGAACATATGGCAAAATGGGTGGGACAAGTCTGGCAAGATCCTTCCTACCTAAAGCTTGAGTGTGGCCACCCACAGAGCAACTGCGTATCCGGTACCACGGCAGCGTGTTCATCCTCCAGGATACAAACTCCCAGTGGCTCAGGGGTCAGAAGCAGTAGACTGGGGACTGGGCAGGTGGTGATATCATCTGGTAGCACTTTCTGAAATCTACCACACCCCAGGATGTGCTCCTTGCTTCTGAGCACGAAAAATGACAGCTGACTCCTATGGGGTAAATTCTCCTCCGCCAGTGCAGGGATGACGAGTGACCCACTGGGCATCTGTCAAGTTTTTGAGAAGGCAAAACAGGCAAGTGCCAACTCCCCTTGCCTGACCATCTGCTGTGAGTTTCGGCATATTTTGGTTGTTGCTCTTATGGTTACCTCTGCTGGTGGTAACACAAGATTGGAGCAATATTGCCAGGGGAGGAAAAGAAGATATAACTTATTTTCTAGTAATGGTTGCAACAAGGAAGAAGGGGAATTTTTATTTTGTCCTGGTCCTTGTCCTCTTAACAGACTCCCTTCTGGAACCGACACTGGCATTGAAGGCAACTCACAGGCACAGGAAGAGAGCAGGAACCTGAGTCACATGAGAATGACACTGATGCTGTACACTATCACCCACAGCTTCTGCATTTTAATTACTGCTTGTTGGCAAATATGTTCACTTGCAACAGGACAAAAGTGGGTGTTGAAGGATGGCTGGAAGAGGCAGCGATGCAGTTGTTTACACATTAATTACTGCAGGGATTTTTGTGTGTAGACAGCACCAGGGAAAAACTGCAGGGACCTGTCTCTCTCTCTCACTTTGGAATCTGTTAATGTCGCTCAAGATCCATATAATACAGGGAGGATGTTGCACAGGTCTGTACTTAAATCTCAGAGCACTATATAAAGCACTGGCAAGTAACCTGCATTTTTTTGTCTGTAACTGGCTGTACACAAATGTTGTCATAAAGCTTTATTTTTCCCCTTGCATACATTTCTGTTTTTCAGATTGTGAAAAAAGCATTAAAAACATCCCTGAGGTTTAATGAGTCCTCCAACATGAAATTAGGTGTGAACAATCAAAAAGACGTCAAAACGGTAATTATGGGGATATACTGCATTTGCTTACAAGAGCTGAGATTACATTTCTGAAAAGAAATAACAGATTAAGAAGAATGATTTTATTGCCCATTTTAGAAATCCATGGAGGTTTCAATCCTATTTGTAAACAAGTGAGTGACAAAACCCTCATTGATTTATCCGGTAGACTGATCAAACCTTGCCGAGAGGGAGTAATGTGGAGCTAAATCCTGCAGCTCTGTCTGGCTCAGGAAGTAAACCATGCTCACACAAAGAGTTTCACTTCCACCATTAACACAGTATTTATTCATGTATTCATTTATTCATTTATTCAGCATGCCTAGAGCACCTGGACAGCACAATGTGTAGCATGGTGACAGCCAGGATGTGACTTCAAAATGGATTTCTCGCCTTAGGAATGTCTTCTAAAGCCTGGGCAATGTTTAAGTCTTGTCAGAGTGTTCATGGGATGAAATGCAGAACTGTTAAAAATTGGTGGGATTGCTTTTTTGCCCTTGATGAGATGGAGAACAAGACAGAGGGCAAAATTTGAAGTAGATAGATTTGAAATGTTTTTCTCATTCAAGTCACTGCCTGAAATCAATGGCAGCACTGTAGATTACGAGAAAAGCAGAGAAAATTAAAAGTAAGAAGCTTCATCCACATAGAAACTAAAATAGAAACTTTCAGAGGCGACTGGTTCCTGTGCAGTTTTCCCATGTGCCCTTCTGGGAGCTCAGATTTATGGCTACAGCCTCACAACCACCCCAGACTTGGTTCTCCTGCCTGGAAGTTCAAAAGCTCAGCTCTGAAGTGCAGGTTGCCTATCACAGGCTGGTGGATGTTCCCAGCTTCCAAGAATTGCCACAGGGAGCCAGACATGATAATTGCTGGGGGGAAATGGATCTGCACTGGTGGTTGTCTTTTCCTCCTCAGTATAGGGCAGCATTTAGAGCCTGGTGCTATACTTTCCCGTGAGTGGCTGGATTCCAGACCTGGATATACCATGTAGCCAGTCTAATTTTTTTTTTTTTTTAAATCTACATCCAGGAAAAAAACTGAAAGTAAAGCAAAAGGGAAATGAAGCTAACTTACCACATTAGAATGACAAAGGAATATTGTAGACACGGATAAATGAGATTTCTATAGTTTCACTTAAGTGAGTTTAAGTTAGAAGACAAAAGCAGAACATGTTCAGAAACCACAAAACTTCCCTCTGCTTCTGACATGATTTTTCTGCCCTGATTTCATGAACTTTCTCTTTATGGTAGTGCTGGGCTTGATCCCACAGATAATCTTGTGTTAGGGATTTCCATGTTTTGATTTTGGTAGAAATTTTGTTGAACATCCATTGTTCCTGTGCTAAAATAAAACTAATCAATGTCAAACTAATCAAAGGTTTGGGAAAAAAAACAGGGGGTTGATATGTTGGCACAGAAAAAAATAAACCAAAACTAGCTAACCCTCACCTAGTTTGTGGTCATAGAGTCACAGAACAGTTCGAGTTGGAAGGGACCTTTTAAAGGTCATCTAGTCAAACCCTCCTCTGATGAGCAGGGACATCTTCAACTAGATCAGGTTGCTCAAAACCCTATCCAAGCTGAGTGATCCTCACTTTCAGTGGTGCATCTAAGAACATTGTCTGTCGGTAGCTGAAAGCAGAACTACTACTCAAAGATTGTGATTTATTCACCTGAACAGGTAGTCATCCATTCACTGGTGTATCAGTGATGTGGTGATCACTTAAATCCTCTCCTGTAATTCTGTTCTAGTTTCAATTCTTCGGGGCAATTTTGATGCTTGGTGGTGTTGTCGCGATGACTGTTTACCTCATGAGAGTGGGCAGCACAGATGATTCCAATGGAGAAGAAACAGTTGTCAGCATTTACAAAGAGCTGGAGGAGGAAGGAGGACTCTACGGAGATCTCCCAAGAACCACAATAACTGAGGAGGACAGCATTAGATCCAATGATTCCTGCAGGTGAGTCATGTTTGATGGCATGTGGAGAAGCAGTCATCAGGTGGAGGACTAGTTACAATACTGATAATTTCAGTATGGAATTTGTTCTCTTCCGGTTGTATTATAAGTTGATAAGGTAACATTAATTTGGGAAGAGTGTGGCTGTTGTTTAGGCATTGGGTAATTAGTAGTCGCCTGCTATGAGAAGCAGTAGGGGCAGTATCAGAGCTCCACTCCCAGTCCTGTGCTTGTATGTTCAGCACAGCTCTGTAGCTCCTCTGCCACCTCCAGACACCCTCCCTTTGTGACAGTGGTGGGAGGCAGCAGGGACACCAGCTGGCAAAGCAACCTCTGTTGGTCTAACCTTCTCTCAGAGGCTGGAATGGCAGGGGCTGTCTGTCCTGGGAGAGGGTGGAGAGGGTATTGAAGGGACAGGCAGCCCCACAGGGTTACTTTTCTCCTCATCTTAAGGATGGTAAAATTCAAAGCTCAGAACAGCTAATGAGAAGTCTTTCTGCTGGATTTGGGAGGAAATGTACAGTCTAAGCCTGGCTATAAAAACTGGGGATAGAGAGTACTCCCAGCTTGTTTATCCAGCTCAGCTTATTTGATTTTGAGGTTGACTTCCCAGATGGCCAATTGTATGGCCTGACAGGTGCTCTGTGTCCTGCTTGGGTCACTGTCTCTTGCTTCATAATGTCCAATTGCCATTGCAGCTTTGACCTGGTGGAAAATGTTCCTTATGACTTACCCTTTGAGATAAATAGCACTGCAGCCAAACCCTTGTACCAAGCCTGGATGAGATTGCTTGATCTAGCCCAGGAAAAAGTTCATGTGGCCTCTTACTATTGGTCTCTTACTGGGAAGGATATCAGTGTCAATGACTCATCTTCCAAGCAGGTAAGATAAAATCAAACACATCTGTGGCTGTATGTCTTGTGTACATGTGGCAGATCGGCTGTGTGATCTGTCTCTCAGGGACATTGCTTGACTGTTCCTGCAAACCCAGGAAGGTTTTCCATGCTGGTCTGAAGCAACACTCCAGCCTTCCCCTCTCTAGTCAAGTTAGACTCCATCTGGGCTCTGTCCAGATGGCTCTGAGTATTTTTATGCTCTGTTTTAAGAGCAGAGGTCAGCCTCAAACCCTCACTTGTTTACCCTGTGGATGGTCCACCCGTGCTAGGGGCAGCCAGTGGCAGAGCTGAGGAGCCTACAGGATCCCATGTACACAAGTGAATGTGCCAGTTCCCACTGGTTAGCTGGAAGGGTCACAAGCACAGGCTACTGGACTTTTGACTGCTTCAGAGGCTGCTTCTGTCACAGCACCTGCATCTACCCATTGTGCACCTGTCCCTGACTCCTACCACTGGACAGCAGCTAAGGAGGTTCATTCTGCTCTGCAGGGCTTTCCTCCTGGGCACCCTGAGTGGCCAGGCTTCCTGTGGGACCTCTCTGGCACTACCACCAGAAATTAATGACAGAGGCCACTGTCCATCATGTTTAACTGTCCCTTGGCTCCCCTTTGGCCTGTGGCAGCTAGCAACCTCCCAGGCAATCCTGAGCAGGGTCTGGGGGACTGTTCTGAAAACAGAAGGGACAAGGCCTTCGGGCAGGTATGGATCTTAGCTGTGTTGAGAATCATGCTGTTTGCTGATGGACCAGCTGCTGGGCTGGTTATTACTGTGGCCTCAGCCTCTGCCTCCCTCCTGGCACACCTTCCTCACTCTCTGGGACTCTCTGGGACTGGTCTTCTTGTCTTTCTCCCCAGGTGTCTCTGGCTTTATAAAATGAGTCATTTACTCCACATGAGAAGAAGTGAAAGTGATAGATGTAAGGCTGAGCACTGTCTCTGCTCAGGACAGCTCAGTGTAGGACAGTCTTTGTCACCTTTATCCTCAGGGAGAGATGACCCCAAGTACCTGTTGAGCATCAGGATCCAGCAGTTGATCTGCACTGGGACACTCATCTTTGAAATCTGGGATGTTTGTGGTTATAGTTTTAAACCCTATATCTAATAGCATTAAATGACAGAGAATAAACTTTGATTTGTGCACTGGATCAGAATCTTTGTTCCCTTTTTTATTTACTTCTGACCTTCCTTGCCTTGGGAAGCACTCAGCAGTAACACTGTACTTGCATATATCTTACTAAATGTTTTATAACAAAACATAAAAAATAACAATGTATTACACAGGGTGAAGATATTCTGAAGAGGTTTGAGAGATTACTTGCAGAGAATGTCTCTGTGTATGTTGCAGCAAGTGTGCCAACTTTGGCTACAAAATCAACGGACCTTGAGCTTTTAGAGGCAAAAGGTAATTATTTCCCTTCAGTGATACACTCAGAGCTTCAGTACTGCAAAAAGGCATGTGAGGGAAACTGGTCTGCAGGGCCTGTTCAGCTTACACGGATTCACAGGATAAGCACTATCTGTTCACTTGCTCATGGTTTCTTTGTATGTTGTCACACCCTTAAGAATTTTGCAGTAAGTTCACATTTTGCATAGTTTTTTTCAGATTACAGCGTTCCCAGGAATGAGAGCTTGTGAATTTTGGTAATTATTACTGGCTGCAAGAGTCAGACATGAACTGGCTGTTCAGACATGTCAGACATGTTCTGGCTGTTGAGGAACCATCTCCATGCTTTATCTAAACTCTTTTTCCCTCCCTCCCAATCTTTCCTCAGGGGCTCATGTGAAAAAGATTGATTTTGGACATTTGACAGGAGGAGTGTTGCATAGCAAATTCTGGATAGTAGACATGAAGCACATATATATTGGTAGTGCAAACATGGACTGGAGGTCTTTATCTCAGGTAAGCTCTGCTGCTGCATATTCAAATATGTGGGGGAAAACTCGTGTTCTAGCGCACAACAGAGAAAAATCATAATTATATAAAATATTGACTGAGTGGAAGAAGCAGCAAAGAAACCCCTGGAGGTGACTCCTTCTGGGGCTGTGACATAGCTTGCTCTCTTTGCAGGTGAAGGAGTTTGGTGCTGTGATATACAACTGCAGCTGCTTGGCCAAAGACCTCTGGAAAACGTTTAGTACTTACTGGGATCTTGGATATGCTAATGCTACCATCCCATTCCCTTGGCCTCTTAATTATTCTACCCATATTAACAACCGTCGGCCTCTGGAAGTAGAATTTAATGGAATCTTGACAAAAGTCTATTTTTCTGTAAGTATGTTTGAAAATAAAATAATGGACTGTAAACTATGTTTAAGGAAAGGCCAGAAAAGTTTCTTAAGCAGCCCTCAGTTACTTGTGTTCCAGTTGGATAGTAATTTTTTCATCAGGTTTCTCTGGACCTACTCAAAAAATAAGGATTGACTCAGCATCAGCTGTCAGGTACTATGGCAGGAACGGTGTGTAGGTCTCTTAATCACCCGTTGGCTCAATATATCAATAAATATCTGACCCATCAGGACATGGAAAGCATGAGGAACAGTAGTAGTAGTCCACCTCAAGTGTTTTGTGCTATTTTAATGAAAACTGCACAGATCTAATATAAATAAGTCACAGTATGACAATAAAAAAAAAAAATAAATCACTAATCTGTGTGTTTTCTTCTTTACAGGCTTCTCCTCCAGCATTTTGTCCAAAAGGTCGCACCCATGACCTCTATTCTATAATCAGTATTATCAGTCAGGCACAGAAGTTTGTGTACATTTCTGTTATGGAATATTTCCCTACCAGCCGTTTTGTTCATCCAAGAAGGTACAATTTTAATCTTGAGCTGATCAGTTGACTTGCACTATTTAAAGGGAAAATATACTATTCTCCCCTTTCTGCAATGAAAACATTCAGAAGGGAGAGAACTGAGGCTCTGCTCTGCACTTAAAACTGTCCTGTGGACTGTGCCTTTCAGGTACCAAGGGACAGAGTGAGGGGAAATGGCCTCAAGTTGTGCCAGGGGAGTTTTAGACTAGATATTAGGGGGAAAAAAATTCACAGAAAGGGTTGTCAAGCATTAGAACAGACCACCCAGAGAAGTGGTGGAGTCACTATCCCTTGAAGTGTTCAAAATCCGTATGCATATGGCACTTGAGTACACGTTTTAGTGGTGGACTTGATGATTCTAAAGGTCTTTTCCAGCCTTAAGGATTCTGGGATTCTATGGTTGTAATACTGAGGCTACAGAAAGGATGGTATCCAATACTGCCCATGTGCTCTGCTAGTGTTTTAAAGCAGCCTCCTGTGTTCTTCACACAGCAAGAAAACTGTGAAGTGCCAGACTAGGGACAGTCAGGTACAGCTTCTTTCACAGTTCAACAGGGCAGCTTTATGAACAGAGAGGAAAGGGAACATGAGAGATCTGTATCTGACATTAGACTTTTCAGAGAAAATATTGCTTTCTTCTTTTCTGCTCCTGTTTTTCTTTTTTTCTGTCTTTTACTTCTGAGGAGTCTTGACTTCCAGCTCTGCTGCCTGTTTGACGTATTTGACCCATAGTTTAGAGGATGCTAACTAGCTGTCCTTGCTGACCTCTGCAATGAGAGCTGAAACAGTCTCTAAAAGAAAATTCTGTGGTGATTTTTTCTGGGTGTGTTGTTTTTTTTCCTTCTAATAATTCCATCTAAGGACTTCCAAGTTCTGGATGCGAACAGCAGCATGCTCTCAGAGAGAGGGTGGTAGTGGTGATCTGGAGTAATCATAGAATGGTTTGGGTTAAAGATCATCTACTTTCCCCTCAAATGCCATGGGCAGGGACACCTTCCACTAGACTAGGCTGCTCAAAGCCCCACCTAACCTGGCCTTGAGCCTGAATGTAGTGAACCACTGCCATGGTCCCAGTGGGCTGCCCAAGGTCACAGCAGAATTACACAGACTCTGCGCATCAACTCAAATCTGAGTAACATAGAAAGTTAGTCAGTCATGGGGCAGCACTAAGACTCCAAATCCTCTTAGATATGCTTGAATTGGGATGTTTACATGCAACCAAGTGCTCTGAATTATCTGCTTATAACATTTCTGAGTTTTTCAAACAGCTTAATAACCTGAGAAAGAAAGTTCAAGAGAAACAATTATGTGCAACGTGGTTTGCAAAGAATAGGGTGAGCTCTAGGTAGCCATTAAGCCAGAATGGTACCATTCATAATGTCCTGTGTCGTGGTGGTGTAAAGCCTCTGTTGTTCAGCTGTGCCGTGTGTGTGTTAGCAGGAAGAAACAAAATCTCAAGATCAACTTCCACTTGGAGGATATTTTTAATAAACCAAACACCTTAGAGCATTTTCTGTTTCTATCTCATACAGTTAAGTCTCTGGGTTTCTCACCTCCTGATTTTAGCCAAGAATAGGTTCACAGAAAGTCTCTTTACCCCCTTAGGATTGCGTTAATACTCCCTTTTCTTCATCTGAAGGCTTAATCCACCATTTGTGACATCTAGGGCTGATCGGATACAAACAAGAGTTTGAAAGGCCCAGGGAAAGCGGTGCAGGGCCTGGGGCTATCTCCACAGCAACCAGCTGTAGTGCCATGAATTGAGGCTGATTAGTTCAGGTTAGGTTTCTCCAGCAGCTGAGGCAGAGGAAACAAAGCTGCTGTCTAATGCCTGAGTGTTAATCAACTAGAAACTGATATGTTTAAAAAATTAAAACTGTTCAAAAATAGCATTTCAAGTAGCATGTTTTTCAAAGTTTTCCAGGATCTATAAGCCAACCTGAGCCTGAGAGCACAGGGCCAGTCCATCGATCGCAATAGGATGATGCACGAGGGAGGATTAGAGAATTCAGGCCTTTGTACATAAGACCAAAAGGATTAAGTTAGGCAAATTAATTCATCATTGCTCATGGGACTGTGAGCCAGTGCTGGTCCTCTCTCCGTATCAGCCCTCCAATCTGTACTAAAGATGCTTGTCTTCCTCCGTGCAGTACTTGTCAGGATCCACGGAATGAAAATGCTGCATGGGTGTTTGGAGTTACTATTTCTGGGATGCACATTGTCCAGCTCTCAGTGTTGTTTAGCTGGGTGAAGGATGTTAAAAATTTTCCCCTAAGCTACTACCAACACAAGTGTCAGGGAAATGGATTTTCCCATGTTCAGGAGAGCACAGCTGTGTCTGTTACCTCGGGGGCACACAGCATGCTAAAGAGGGCAAGGAGGGGTGGGGAGGGATGGAGCCTGCCCAAAGTGGCTCACGGCACAGGACCCCTGTGGTCACTGCAAACACTCTCCAGGTCTCTGAAAAGACCATATTCTGCAAAATGGTTCTTAGACTTTCCTCTAGGCTCTGCACTGTCCTTTTTATTCTCTGCTGTATGATCTGGCTTTACATTGGAGTTGCTGTTGTTTTTAGTTTCTCAAGGAAATGGGCATGATGACACCATGCTATGTGTGTATCTTTGCTAAGCTTTAAACTTTTTGGTCAGTTCCAACTTAATTTGGCAGAGCCTGGAGGCCTCAAAACACACCGTGAAAAGAATGGACTTGGTAGAAGGCAGAAATCCCCTCCAGGGAAGGCTCAAGTGCTCCGCTCACTAGTTGTCAGAGATCCCATCTGTGCACGGCATCACTTGTAGTCTCAGTTTGTTGTCACAGCTTTCTGCTGAACTGTTGAAAAAGTATCCCTTTTTTCCACAAACCTCCTTTTCTGCAGATACTGGCCAGCCATTGACAATGCTCTGAGACGTGCAGCTTTCAACCGCGGAGTGCGAGTCCGGCTCCTGGCTGGCTGCTGGACAAACTCTGACCCAGCCATGCTCAACTATCTGAGGTCCTTGCGTGCTCTCAACAACCCACATGCCCACATCAGTGTCGACGTGGTATGAAACGGAATCTGATTTTGGAAAGACAGCTTGAGGACACGGCCTCACACTGATTTTTGAGTCCAAGCTGCCGTTTGCATGTGCAAGGATTAGCTTTTAGAGAAGCAGGTTGTCTGTTTTTGCAGTGACTGTTTCACATCCTTGTGAAAATAAGGCCAAAGATATAATCTTTGAGGAAGCAGCTATTTCCAAGCCACTAGTGATATCAGGAATGTGCCTGGCTGTGGCATTTGAGACATTATCCAGGCAGCTGTTTCGCTGAGCACCGTGACAGTGATAGTTTATATGATAACTTAATGCTCTGCTCAGAGACCTTTTCCTGCATGGAGCATTTTAAATGGATCTAATTGCTATCAGTTTTTCACAATTGAGATATCTGCTATATCTATACAAATAGACTGATTTTTGGACACTAAATATTATGCACAGGCCACAGGCACTAGGCTGGAATGTATCAGGTAGACTGGGGATGGTGTGGATGCTCCCAGCAACAGAGAGATGTCACAGAAGAAGGAAAGGGTTTTAGTCAAAAAAAAAAAAAAAAAAAAAAAAAAAAAAAAAAAAAAAAAAAAAAAAAAAAAAAAAAAAAAAAAAGGAAAAAAAAAGACAGAAATGTAGATTTTAGTAAGAGTTAACACAAAAAGTTAGGCATTATTGTTTCCTGCAGTACCCCTCTTGTCTGTGATCATCCCATTTTAGCACAAAATAAGAGCAGCAATCAGTGGTAAATGCAGATCTATTAAACAGCTGTCTAAAACTGCATTTAATTGTCTACCCTGTAATGATAATAGCTGTGCCACTAATGGAACATTGTGAGGCAAACATTATCTGTATCTGATCTCAATTGCTTATCCAATTTTATGTATAGTGGAAGCACTATTTGTTAGTTTTCTTGGATAAGAGTAAAATTTCTTTTGAGTGTGGAATGTTCTTCTCTGTTCTCCCCATACTATTCTATTCTTTGAAACTACAGAAAGCATGCATTGTCCAGTCATGAAGTCTGTTCCTCACTCTAGTATTTCTGTTTATATTTTTAATCTCTCTCCCTCCAGAAACTCTTCATTGTTCCAGTTCTGAATCACACAAACATTCCTCATGGGAGAGTGAATCACAACAAATATATGGTCACTGATAAAGTAGCCTACATTGGTATGTATTCCAGTATTCCCGATACTTACACTGTCTCCAGATCTATTGGACTGAGACTGAGATAGGGTGGGCTGCAATATCAAAAATATCTCACTTTGCCATGAAAAGAAGTCTGTCCCGGGTAAAGAAGTACAGATGTGAAGAGGAGATGATAATGTAGGTCAAGTTCAGTAAGAGATTATTTCATATGATTGTGAACCATTAGGAACAGAGCATGCCAAGGCTGAGTGCGCAGCCTGTGACAAGCACAGTGGGAGTTTCACAGCCTGTGTGCTCAGAATGACGCAGTGATGGCTGGTGCTCTAGTGTATAACATTATTGTGCTTTAATAACAAGAAATTGCTGGGAGGAATTAATTCCACGCACTGTTTGTTGAACAGAACTCTAGGAAAGGAAATGAGAAAACAGTAATGTCAATTGCTGCTCAGTTCCTGAAAGTCGAGGTGGTGTTTATGTTTCACTCCTTTATTAGGATCCCTCAGAAAAGGGAATGTGCGAGGGCTCTGTCATTTCAGTCAGCTCATCCTCCAAGCAATGCACACCAGCAAATAGCCCAATCTTCCAACTGGCTGAGGGTTTGCAGCTCCATTTGCCTTTAATACTTTAATAACTTGTTTCAAACTGAGTTGTCTTTTGAAGGCAGATACGCAGATAATTTGTTTTCATGCCTAAGCACCTTCTGGAATTGACAGTAGATTTTTCTGACTCAGGCAATCACGAGGGGAAGTGCTAAGTGATAAAACGTGTGTTTTTTCACAGTGTTTGATTTTCTGAATTGAGCTTTGGAGAGAGACTAGACAATGCCTGCAGCTGGATTCCCAGCTTTGCCTGGTTTAGAAGTGGGCATTGCATGCTGAGCTCAGAACAGCTCCTGAGGGTTTATTGATCAAGGGTCTAGTTTCTCCTCTTGTTTTCTTTCAACAAATAAAGAGAAATAAGTCCATTAAGGACTCTTTTCTTTAAACAGAGAAACCTATGTCAAACACTGGCTTTTACCCCTCTTAATACTCAAGTGTTGCACGCTATTCCCATATTTATAATTAGTAAATTTGTGCATTCTGTCACAGGCTCTAAGGAATCAGAAGGTTATGAACTTTCAGGGTTGCAGTTAATACCTAGTTTCCGAAACCTGAGGTCTGGTGTAAGAAGGAGGTGACCTGATTTTTGCTGCCTCGTTGGTCCTAATGAGATTTGCAGTCATAGAGCAAATCAACAAAGCCCGGAGATCAAACAGAACACTGGGAAATTAATGTTTTCTGATCAGCTACTTTTCCATTGCACAGGGACTTCCAACTGGTCAGAAGATTACTTCACTAATACAGCTGGTGTTGGACTAATTATCAAACAGAATTGGACCAATCTGCAAAGAAGGCAACTGCCTGTCCAGGAACAGGTAAAAAACCTTTTTGAGCGAGACTGGAATTCCAAATATGCAGTGAATCTGGAAGATGTGCAGGGACAGAAAGACTGTAACTGGCAAGGCCAACTCTGAAGTGAATTGAAATGTACATTTAAAATAGAAACAAAAAATATATTTGAATTTTGTTCCCTTGCAAATCAAGGAACGTTCTTCTTTTTGTCTTTGTCAGAGAAATCACTTCCTCATGGTGTCCGCATTGATAATACAAGAATTTCTGATAGTTGACTATACCTGCAAAACCATTAGTCAGCGTGTGATGTTTAATTTTTTGTGTGATTACCTTATCCCAACGTTAATAAAATGCATAGTGTTGTATGACAAGCTGTCTGATATTAATGTAAACATGAAAGACCTTAATATATCAGAGACCACTATCGCTGTGCTATTTTCTCTTAGATTATATATTTCAACCTAAATGTTCCATTCACAATGTTTGTTTACACTTGTTTAAGCATATTATTAATAAAATATTTTAATAAAACTTCTGACCACTTTAAGATTTGAGCCAAGTATATCGTCACCTACAATAGTGAGGGCAGATTTTTAAAAACATTTAGGAACTAGGGAAATACCTGTTTTTAAGTGTTCAGGCTACTCGCTAGAGATAAATGCCTGGAATTTAAATCTTGGGGCAGCTTCCAGCTCACCTGTCCTGGAACCCCTGAGTGTCTGGGGATTTTTGGGTGTTTGTGTGTTGGTCTTGTGCAGCAAACAGGACAGGGGAGCAGGGCAAAGCTGATGCATGGGTGCTGTTGTGGCAAAGGCATCCCACCTGCACTGTGGGCAGTGCTTGGAGAGCCTCCTTGCTCCTTTTGGGCTACCCAGTTGCTGGCCCTGACCACTGTTGTGTCTCTGGGCTGCCTTTTCTTGTGCAGTCACACAGGGACCATAACCCTGAGCCATCTGATGTCTTACATCCATATCCACCACTGCACGGCCTCTGCCCTGGCTGACTCTGAAGTGACAGGAAAGGTGAGCAGGGCATGTGCTCCAGCCATGGAGTGGTGTGAGTGACATGTGGCTGGGGCTCCACAAGCCTTGGCAGGGCTGTGCACCTCTGCCTGACACTGGAACTGGAGTCACTAAGTGAGCTTTTCACTTGGGGACTGAGGTACAGCAGAGGGGAGAGAGACTGAGCTCCAGAGCAGGATTACATAGAAGGACTGGGGAAAAGTCTGTCCTGTTGCTCCATCTCTGAGCTCTAAAAATGCAGCAGACCTTTCCAGCCCTCAAATGTGTGTGGCAATGCATGGCTTCACTCTTGGCCCCGTGGGCCTTATTCAGTTGCATTTGACTCTGAGGCCCCTCCCCTGCCACAGACACAGCACTGGGTAGGGGGAGTACAGGCTTTCTCATTACCTCTCCATCCTCCAGAGGATGTGCTTTTAAACCCCTGCCCTATGCTGAGAATGACAATGTGAATGTTGTGATCCTCTGTGTGTGGACTGATTTATACCTCTGAGAATGCACACAAATCCCCACACAAATAAGGACTTTCAGAAACAATCCCAACCAATTTTTCATTTTTTGGTTCCCAGGCTGCTCCTTAGATATCTCTTCCAGACACTTCTAAGATTCCTTGGATTATTTTATCCATCATTACAAATCAATACATCTTGTTACTGAGGCAGATTTTTTTAAGACGTAGTTACATTTACAAATATCACTGAAATTTTTTGAGTATTCACATACATGCAGAAATATTGAGGAAGATGCAGGTGCGTTTAATTGTTCTCATTCAATATTTACTTACTAGAGACAGCTTGAAAATCTTTGTGAGAAGTTACGTCCTTAAACAACAGAACAGTTTTCTGTAGGGGTGTGCACTCCTCTAGATGGCACTCGAAGCTGTGTTTTTGCTGTTTTGCATTAGGTAGATATTGCGGGACTAAGAGGAAAACTTCTTTCTCCTCCACTTCAGAGCTCAAATCTGACAGTGCTGGATTAGTTGTTCAGTGGGGCAGAGTTTTTGGACAAGCTGGCAGAATTGTCTCATGGCCATATGAGACTCGTGTGGGTTAAGGTTCAGCTTATAGAGGAAAAATTGACATTTATGGGAGTGCTCTTTTATTTTCTCTACTGATACCATTGTTGATTTTCCTCTATATATGAAGGGGTAGTTTACAATTAAGACAGTGAATGAGATCTAAGATGAACTTGAGTTTATTATCCTAGTTTCTTGTGAGACTTTTTAGACCCCTTCAAGACTTTACTCCTATTTACTTGTTCTCTATTAAAAACATAGACTATCATGTAAACTATGAAACCATTTATGAAAGAGGTAATAATAATCCCTGTGCATGCATATGTTACTTGTCTCTTTCATTTAGATTGCGGTTTCTTGAACCTAAGAACTGTACCAAATGTAAGCTGGGGCCTCTAGTGGTACTCACTAGCATCTTTTTGCTATCCTTGAATGGATTAGATACTAGGAAAAGGTTCTTCATCCAGAGGATGGCTGGGCACTGGAAAAGGCTCCTCAGGGGAGTTGTCCTGGTACTGAACCTGATAGAGTTCAAGAAGCATTTGGATGGCACTCTTGGACATGTGGCATGATTCACGAGGATGTCGTGTGTAGAGCCAGGAGCTGGACCTTGTGGGTCCCTTCCAACTCAGGATATTCTATGATTTTCTAGTTTGATTGCAGGCTGCCCAGATTTTTGCCAGTATTGGTTTAGTTACGTCAATAAGGAGTTGCTGACTTGGATCTTGAGCAAGGATGCTCTTCTCTGATCAGCTCATCTCATGGATCTGTGTTACGAGGGAGTACAACGTGAGCGAACCAGCCCTCTGCTTTATCTGAGTGCCTCTCACGTGGAGCTGCTGCACTGCTCTCCCATCAGGCTCATTTCTGAGAGCCCTTGGTTTGGTGCAGTGCCTTGTGGCTACAGCACTGCTGACAGCAATGCAGACGGCAGCAAGACAGGACCGGGCTGGCTCCACAGGCTATGAGTACTGACAAGATTGCAAAACCACCTGGCTTCACACGCTGGACACCTGCTTGTTCCAAAAGCTTCAGTATAATCTGTTTTCATTTTTTTTTCCTGCTGTTACCTAGGATTTTCTTTTACCAATTCTTCCAGATAAAATATACCTTCATTGTTTTCATCCAGGTACTGAGAAAATGTTTCATCTGCCATTTATGCTGTATCAAGGTACACTTAATTTCTTGACAGTTGTAAATATCTCCCTAATCCCTAGAAGACAACTCCTGGGTCCTCACTGACTCACAGACCACTGCTCTCTGCAGCTTTCCAAGGAGGGGAAGTAGAGAGGAAAGTGCTGATCCCTTCTCTCTGGTATCCAGGGATAGGATGTGTGGCATCAGGGGAGGTTCAGACTGGACATTAGGAAACATTTCCTTACCAAGAGGGTTGTCAAACAAACTTGTCTCAAGCGGTGTTTGATGCCCCAAGCCTGTCAGTGTTCAAGAGGCATTTGGACAATGCCCTTAACAACAAGTTGAGGCTGTTCAGCCTGGAGAGGAGAAGGTTGTGTGGAGACCTCATAGCAACCTTCCCGTACCTGAAGGGGGCCCTACAGGCAAGGTGGAAAGGGGCTCTTTATCAGGAGTAATGGGTACAAACTGAAAAAGGGGAAATTCAGGTTAGATATTAGGAAGAAATTCTTTCCTATGAGGGTGGTGAGGTACTGGAACAGGTTGCCCGGAGACACTGCGGATGCCCCAACCATGGCACTATTTAAGGCCAGGCTGGATAAGGCCTTGAGCTATGTGGTCTAGTGGGAGGGGTCCCAGCCCATGGCAGGGGGATTGGAACTAGACAATCTTTGAGTTTTCTTCCAAGCCCTTAACATTGTATGATTCTATGATATATAAAAGAAGAGCATCTCATCTTGCAAATGGTTAAATCAAGTACACTTCATTTACAATCCAGCTGCTAAATGTTTTGCTGTGTCTGCTTTCCCTGTACAAAGAATAATATGAAGAAAGGAAATAGAGGATTAGAAAACTACTGTAACAAGACCTGTTGCAAATTTAAGCTGGGATTTTCAGAATCAGAAATGTAAGTAACTCACGCTAGTCGAGTTATTTATTCTTATGGTGAGTTTATTGTGACTTAATAATATAGACAGTGTTTTATTGGTACATGTGAAGGCTGTCACATATGCACTCTAGTTTCCATTGTGCCCTGCAGAGAAGCATTGATATAAACAAAGAAGCAAATAATTATATACACCTCCTTTCCCGAAAATCTTTGAAGCAATTCCACCAGTGTGGCAGATCATTCTAAGCATTTAACTATCCCATAAATATATACATTAAAATTTATTTATCCACATTTGAATAATTATTCTTTGTAAGCATGTTTTATTTTGGTATCTTAAAAATGTGAATTAGTTACAAGCTTTTGGTCTTGAAATTATTCTGTTGGGTTTTGTTTTGGTATTTTTAAAATCTCTTAAGGCTAAATATGACCCACCACAATTATAAAAAAATGAGAAGAGAGGAAGAGGTAAAGCATTAGTCTCTCTACACTAGTATTTAAATTTTATTTTATATTTTAAAATGTTTGTGGAATATACATACTACTTTAGCTGAAATAAAGAAAAACATTTTCATAAGAAAGCAAAAGTAGGTCAGAAAGGTCCAAAATCTAAACATGTAAATATAGTTCTTATAGTACTAGTTTATAACCCATTCTGGAAATAATCTGTAATCTAAATGTAATTACACTGTGTGTTTTGAGAAGCCTATTTAAAAACCTTTTGCTATCATTAAGCCCTTCAATGGTTTACTTTCATGATTCAGGTATGTTTTTTCAGACTTTGTTCAACCTATGGGCTCCTCTGTACTTGTCATAACTGTTGCCTTTGGTGCAGATTTGAAGAAATCATTATTTTTATAAGTGCATCATATAGTACATCCACGTACTTGAAAATTTACATGTGGTAAATTCTGTTCAACTCTTTTCATTGATACCAGCTTTGGGTTTTCATTTTCAGTTACTAGAAAATTTAAAAAACACATTCTTTTCTGTACATGTAGATGATTTTGTTTTCATTGAGGACTGAGAAAATGCAACTTTCATTTGGCTGTATCTCCACCAATATTAGATTTACTATCTTTTTCTTCCTCCAACAAGATCAGTTCAGTTCTTGCCAAAGATGTCACAATAGATGAGGCCCCATCAGTTTCAACTTTTTCATCCCTTGTTGTTTCTTTAGGTGATAAGCTTTCCTGTGCATCAAAAAATACGTCAGGTTTATCTGATGGGCTATCTTCATCTGAGATTCTTCCCTCTTTATGACCCATCTCTTCTTTTTCAACAGACTTTGCCTTTTTGGAAGGAGATGTGAAACCAAGCTTGGGAAATCTAAACCATCCAGTTTTTTCAGTTTGCTTAGAGGAATCATCTGATGTGTCAGCAGATTTCATATCTTCTGGATCTGATTTTTTTACTTCTGTTTTTACATCTGTGCTTGTTTCATCACTAGAAGATGAGAAGCCAACACCTGGAAGCCAAAACTTGAATCTTCCAGGAGATCTTTTGCTATCAGTCTTTTCTTTCTCACTGGTTTTTTCTTTTTCTTCACCTTCCACAGCTTCAGCTACATCTTCATCTTTAGAGAGAGGACCCGAAGTTATTCCCTCTGGTGATTTATCAGGAAGACTCTCTTCAAGTTTACTGGAAGGCTTTACTTCAGTAGCATATGTTTTTAACTTTGGCAAACTTACTTCTCCACTAAATTTTTCAGACTCATGATGTGGTTTGTCAGATAGTTTAAGTTCAACACTGCCAGTTTTCTGTGCTGCTACTCCAAAGCTTTCCTCAGCACATGTAGGTTTTTTCACTGATCCACCTTCTGCTGGAGATGGCTGCTGGACTACCACTTCTAAGTCACTGTGTGATTCAGGCAACTTTGCCTTCAGCAATGAGAATCCCAGTGTAGCAGTTTTGACTTTTGATGACAGAATCTCTGATTCTTTCAGTATTTCAGTAGTGTAAATCTCACACCTTTCAATAGCAACGTGTTCAGGTTCTACTTTCTCACTTACTTCCTGGCCTTCTACATAAGACCAGTGAACGTCTTGCCCTGTACTTGAAAGGGAGGACTCTATGGTAGTTGTCATTTGTGCTGTTTTAATGTCAGGTTCAGTCAGTGTCAGAATTTTGCTTTTTGCTTTTTGAATACTCGCTTCTAGAGCCCCTGGTGTTTCATCAGAGATAGCAGAGCTTGCTCCCAGTTGCACTACCTCAATATCAGCACTAGATCCCTTTGGATCTGTTA